AGACTTGCTCAATTTGTAGAAGTTTTTTAAAGAAAGAAGTATATCATCTTTAGAACCAAGTTTTAATGTATTAGATTGCATAGTTTATTAGACTTCGTTTTTACATTAGAAAGTATGAGACATTTCATTTTTAATTTGTAATTCAAATGTACACTATATTTTAGCTATTGCTTTTTATTATAGCTAACATTTACCCAAAAGGATATTACCCTGTGATCATTTCTTTTCCTTCCAGAGTAAGGACCCTCCATCCCAGACTACCAGTAGTAATTCAGAGGAGGAAGTTTCTGCGGCAGGAGATTCGGGAATGGCACCAGTGGATATAGACCTGAACCTGGTTTCAAATATATTAGAATCCTACAGCTCTCAAGCCGGACTGGCGGGACCTGCCTCTAACCTCTTACATAGCATGGGAGTACAACTGCCTGACAATACTGATCATAGACCACAAGTAAGCCAATGAAAGATTAGCCAGCATAGCTACACTGTTATTTTGTTTTTGGCCAGTTGTGGGGCTTGAACTCAGCCTGGGTACAGTCCCTGAGCTTCTTTGTGCTCAAGGTTAGAGCTCTATCATTTGAACCATATGCTAGGTAGAGTTTTTGAGTGGTTAATTAGAGATAAGAGTCTCATTGGGACTTTTCTGCCCAGGCTGGCTTCAAACTGCGATGCTCAATCTCAGCCTCCTGAGTAGCTAGGATTACAGGGTGAGCCATTGGTACCTGGTTCCACTATTTGCTTTTTAAATAAAGAATGAGTCTAAGAGTGTTCCTTTCTAGTTTATTCATTTAGTAAGAATGTTCTTTTATTACAGGTTGCATAGGTTCTCTTCTAAGCACCAAATGTTGCCCACTCTGTACAAGTGCCCTAGGGTTTGTGTTGTTGTTTCCCTTATTCTGAGACCTTTTATTGCTTTTAACTCAGGGTAGACTTGAACTTGGAATCTTCCTTCCTTAGCCTCCCAATTGCTGCACATGTGGTTTTGGAATTAGCAGGATAGAATCAAGCTAGAACAGCCTTTGAGATGAGATTTATACACAATATGTTAATAAATCATACTTAGCCCTTAAGTTTATTTATTTATTTACTTATTGCCATTCCTGGAGCTTGAACTCAGGGCCTGGGCACTGTCCCTGAGCTTCTTTTGCTCATGGCTAGCACTCTACTACTTGAGCCACAGTGCTTTTTCTGTTTATCTGTTACTGAGGAATCTAACTCAGGGCTTCACGCATGCTAAGCAAGCACTCTACCACTCAGCCATCTTCCCAGCCTTTTTATGTTTGGATTTTTTTGTTTTGTTTTGTTTCTGTCAGTCGTGGGGCCTGAACTCCGGGCCTGGGCGCTGTCCCTCAGCTCTTCATCTCTAACACTCTACCATTTGAGCCATAGAGCCACTTCCGGCTTTTTCTGCTTATGTGGTGCTGAAGAATCAAATCCAGGACCTCATGAATGCAAGGCAAGCACTCTACCACTGAGCCACTTTGCCAGCCCTATGTTTATTTTTTTAAAGATGATCCTATTCCTCCTGAAATGTGTTAAGTGAAATCTACAAATAGCTCCATATAGTATTTTTGTAATATAGTGAATACTTTTTCTAATTGAGGTGTCTGGTTTTCCTTCAGTGTTCTTGTGTGCACTAGAAAGATGCCCTGACCTGTGTGTCTTACCCTGTGAAAGTAAATTAATGGAAATACAGTTGTCCCACAGTATCCATCAAGTCTCAAATCCCTTATATAATATGGTGTGATTGCCTTTGTACAGCCTTTGTATATCCTCTAGTCAATTCTAGGTGCCCAGAATACCAAATGCAATGCATCTGCCATGTAGTTAATGGTTAAACTACATTTAGAGAATGGCAAAAATGTGCACTATAGATGTTAACAAATGTTGTTTGGGTTTTTTTCCCAAAATACTTTCAGTATGCAGAATCCATGGATACATGGATACAAGTAATTCCATACTGCCTCTCCATTAACCAGAGAAGGAATTACAATGGTTGTAGAGTTCCTATTTGGGAGCCTATAATGTTACCCTTTCCCATTTTTTCTCTTTATTTCATAGCAGTGTTGATTGAAATGAACTGAGAAGAGCGAACGTGTTGTACAAAGAAGTAAGCAAGCTTTAGATGAAAATGTTTTTGGTTTTTTTTTTTTTTTTTTTTTTGCCAAGCACAAGTGCTCAAGCCTGAAATCTTAACTACTCAGGAGGCTGAGATCTGAGAGTCTCAGTTTGAAACCAGCTCAGGCAGAAAAGTCCCCTTGAGATTCTTATCTACAATTAGCCACTCAAAAATGAGAAGTGGAGCTGTGGCTCAAAGTGGTAAAGTCCTGGCTTTGAGCAGAAGAGCTTAGGCACAACATCCAGTCCCTGAGTTTAAGCCCCACAACTGACAAAAAAAAGAAAATGTTTCTTTTTATTACACAGGCAACATTTTTAACATTTTAAATAATGCTACTAATTTTAAATGTTTCAAGTAAATATTGTGCGTGTATCATCCATGTGTGCCCCCAAACACCACACATGCACCTGTATATGCTGGTACTAGAGTTTGAACTCAAGGCTTTACATTGTTTTAGGTTTTTCGCTCAAGGCTGGTGCAATACCACTTAAGGAACTGCCGCCTCTTTCTTTTTGCTGATGAGTTAGAAGAGACTTTTAAATTTGTCTGCTTGGGCTGGCTTTGAACATGTATCCTCAGATCCAGCCTCCTGAGTAACTAGGATTATAGGCATGAGCCACAGGTGCCCAGCTAATACACTGTTACAATTAGCTTTGAAGTTACATTTCTCATATTAAGAATGCTACCCCCCCCCCCCCCATTAAGTACTAACTGACCATGGCTTCTTGGAATGAAAACCAAGACTTTGTAAAACAAAACTTTTTTTTTTGTGTGTGTGTGGGGGGGGTTGTGGGGCTTGAACTCTGAGCCTGGGTGCTGAGCTCTTTTGCTCTTTTGCTCACGACTAGGCTTGAACTAAAGCTCCACTCCCAGTTTTCTGGTGGTTAATTGAAGATAAGACTTTCATAGACATTCTTGCCTGGGCTGGCTTTGAACCTCAATCTTCAGATCTCAGACTTCTGAATAACTAGAATTAGAGGTGTGAGCCACCAGTGCCCAACCAAAACTTATTTCTAATGGTGTATAATTAAGGTACATCTCAGTGTTTCAAATAGAATAAACAAAGGAAAACTTAAAAAAAAAAAAAGAATGTTACCTCAGCTGGATTACATGTGGTACATTAAATTTATCTTCATTGAGAATTAAATGTTGGGTACAGAAAGGTAAATAGGGCTGGGAAGGTGGCTCAGTGGTAGAGCGCTTGCCTTGCATGCCTGAGGCCCTGGGTTCAATTCCTCAGCACCACATAAGCAAAAAGAAAAAAGCCGGAAGTGGCACTGTGGCTCAAGTGGTAGAGTGCTAGCCTTGAGCTGAAGAGCTGAGGGACAGCACCCAGCCCAGAGTTCAGGCCCCACAACCGGACCCCAAAAAAAAAAATAGGTAAATAAAGCCAGGTGCCAGTGGCTCATGCCTGCCTGTAATTGTACTGCTTGGGAGGCTGAGATCTGAGGATCACAGTTCAAAGACAGCCTAGCCTGGGCAGGAAACTCTATGAAATTCTTATCTCCAATAAACTGCTCAGAAAAACTGGAAGAAGTGCTATGACTCAAGTGGTAGAAAGAAAAGCTCAGAGACAGTTCCCAGGCCCAGAGTTCAAGCCCCAGGACTGGCCAAAAAAAGGGGAGGAGAAATAGCCATTAGCAAGGTCCACTGACCTTGAGCCAGACTCACTCTGATGACACATATGTTTGGCTTTCTTCATCTGCATCATGGATTCAACTGGATTCTGTTTATCTGTAGTTCGTTGCTACATTTATGTTGTGCAGTCATTTGATTACCTGTGCTCGTTTATCTGGCCATTTTCAGTATCACAGCCCTGCCTCTGCCTCAGTTTCATAAATTCTTAAGTGATCTTCAGAATTTAAAAAAGCCCTCTATCCCATTCATGGCTTGGTACACAAAGTTCAATGTTACAGCTTCTCCTATTTGCTGCTCATCTTTTCTTAAAAACATTAGTCAAAAAACAAACAATTACTCCACAGTTAAGTTTGAGAAACTCATAACCAGGAAGCTGCGCACTTCCCTCTCTATCAGTGTTTTCAGGTTGGAAATGTGTACACATGTACTCACAAACACACCCCCAGAGATGGAAATGATAGGGAGACAGTAATACACATGGACCCTGAACTGTTTTCTTCTGACTGCAACATATGAAGAAATAACAGGCCCTTTTTCATGAGTGCTTTTTTTCTTCTCCATGGTTCACTCCAGGTAAAGGCAAACTGCCAACCTAACAACAATCAAGTCCTACAACATAATAGCCCTCAGCAGTTCAAGAGGAAGGCACCAAAACAGTGATGGTTTGGCAGCAGCAAAGACAGTAGCGCCCTTTGAGATTGAAAGGCAATTTAGAGCTTCAATTTTTCTAATTCTAGAATCTAGTTTTGCTTAGTCCTATGGGAGTCTTAATTTGTGAATAAATCTAGGATCTCTGGGGCTTATATCTTAATTACTAATTATTGCCTAAAATCATCTAAAGATAGTACTTCTGCATATTGTCTCAGTTGTGCCAATTTGGAACCTAGACTTAAAAGATTTGATTGTCACTCCGAAAAAGAGATCTTTTTTGTCATCACACCACCCCCCAATACTCACTTTCTTTCTTTCTTTTTTGTCGGTCGTGGGGCTTGAACTCTGGGCCTGGGCACTGTCCCTCAGCTCTTCAGCTCAAAGCTAGCGCTCTACCACTTGAGCCACAGTGCTACTTCTGGCTTTTTCTGTTTATGTGGTGCTGAGGAATTGGACCCAGGACTTTGTGCATGGGAGGCAAGCATTCTACCACTGAGCTACCTTCCCAGCCCCCAATTCTCACTTTCTAAAATTTCCTGGATTCATAGGACAGAAAGAAAAATCTGAACAGAAAGTGTAGACAGTCCCCCAGACAGGTTTCCTTCCTTAAGACTGGTATACGATGGCAGGAGAAGTGGTACAAGTTTAGGGAAATACAGATGGCAAAGTGATAGTCTTTTACATGGGTCACAAACTGAGCAAATAATAGAGCTGAGAACATAATCTTTTTGGTTTTTTTTTTTTTTATTGTTCTTTTGGATACTACTGGAGTTTTTGGATGATAGTCCTTATGCCTGCTAGTTAGGCACTCTGCCACATCAACAGAACCTCACTGCCTCCCATGCAAGAGCATTTTGAGGAAGACTCAAGCTCCCTCTTTCTTCATCCCTTCAGACAACTTAAAGAAAAATTTTGGGGATGAAGCTCAGGGGCAGAGCACTTGCATAGCATGCATAAGGCTCTGGATTCCATTCCCAACACTAGAGGAAAAAAAATCAACAAAAAAATCCTCTTATTTAACTACTAGGTACAAGAACATACCTGTTCACAAATTTTAAAATGTTACAATATTTTTCCTGGTTCTGTAACTGATTAGTAGCTTCAGGTTGGTTATATATTTTCCATGTGAAGATAAACATCTTAACTGTAATTACTCCAGGCATGTTTTGGTGGTTAATATAAACAGCATTAACAAGAGACAAACCAGATGTTTGCTTCTAAGGTCTTGGAGAAAGTGAATTACGAAGGGCATACATTGAAACTAATCTCCACTCTTACTCTGATTTTGATGGTTGACACAGTAACAGCTTTTTCTCTTTAGCTTTTTTGTTGCTGTTTTGTTTTCTTACTATGTAACCTTGGCTGGCCTGGAACTAGAAACCAACAGGGCCTCCCAAGTGCTGGGATTATAGGCATGTACCACCACATCTAGTTTTATTTTGTTTTGCTTAAAGAGGAAGTTCTTGCTATGTTGCCCATGTTGGTCCCAAACTCCTGGGCTCAAGCTTTCCAAGTAGCTGTGACTACAGGTGCATGCTACCATACCTGGCTTATACTGTCATTCTTACTGCATGTTCTTAGGAATGTCTTATGCTGGCATTGCTGACAGAGGTATCTTTCCTTGAGTTTACCTTCACCACTGCCTAATTATGAGATTGGCCTGTTGCTGCTTTTTACCTCTCCTTTACAAAGGACCTCTGAAGGTGTGTCCTTCAGCCATACCCAGGAAGAATCTAGACATCCTGATCTGGGCTAAGCAGGTAGGGAAGAACAGGCCTGTTTTTCCACCCACTCCTTAATCAGTTGGTGGGCAATGGCTAACTTAGGGGGCAAAGAGAATGGCGAAGTCTTGTTCTGTTGCTGAATATAGGGGCCCTCTCCCCTCAGTGCTGTGACCACCTCATCATGACTGAACCAGGCAGCTGCCTCCAGTTCTCTCAAGTTCACCTGGATCTAAAAGACATAAAGAACAAAAGAATGTAAGGTTAGGAACTATAAAAATTTAAGTATTAAAGCCAAATATGGGAAAATGGCTACTATAACTAGGCAGCCTTAGAATATAACACTTGGTGCCAGGCACTGGTGGCTCCCACCTATAATCCTAGCTACTCAGGAGGCAGAGATTTAAGAATCATGGTTCAAATGCAGGAAAGGCTGTGAGAGTCTTTCTTTTCTTTTCTTTTCTTGCAGTTCAGTGGCTCAGTTTAATTTGTACTTTTATAAAACTGTGAGACTTTTATCTCCAATTAACCACCAGAAAACTGGAAGTGGAGCTGTGGCCCAAAGTGGTAGAGTGCTAGCCTTGAGGGAAAGAGCTCAGGAACAATGCCCAGGTCCTGAGTTCAAGCCCCATAACTAACAAAAAAAAAAGAAAGGGGGGCTGGGAAGGTAGCTCAGTGGTAGAGCGCTTGCCTTGCATGCCTGAGGCCCTGGGTTCGATTCCTCAGCACCACATAAGCAAAAAGAAAAAAGCCGGAAGTGGCGCTGTGGCTCAAGTGGTAGGGCACTAGCCTTGAGCTGAAGAGCTGAGGGACAGCGCCCAGGCCCAGAGTTCAGGCCCCACGACCGGACCCAAAAAGAAAAAAAATATATATAACATGTAGCATCTACAGGCAAAGTGAAAATCTGTTCTAGATATTGCCCAGAAACAAAAGAGAGGTGCTGGGAAGGTGGCTCAGTAGTAGAGTGCTTGCCTTGTATGCATGAGGCCCTGGGTTTGATTCCTCAGCACCACATAAGCAGAAAAAGCCAGAAGTGGCGCTGTGGCTCAAGTGGTAGAGTGCTAGCCTTGAGCTGAAGAGCTGAGGGGCAGCGCGCAGGCCCATAGTTCAGGCCCCACAACCGACAAAAAAAAAAAAGGTAAAGGAATTAGGCACATTGATTTTTTTTTTTTTTAATTCTGTAAGTACAGGCCACGGGTGTAGCTTAGTAGTACCACATATACTTATGCATGTGACCAGGGTTCAATCCCCAATATCAAAGGGGCAAAAATATCTGGAAGTATAAATACTAACATATTAAGATGGATAAATTATACTCATTTTTCTTTGTGACTCTGTTTAACGTAACATTTAAAAATGTTACTCTTTGGGGATAGGAAGTTGGCTCAGTGGTAGAGCACTTGCCTTGCATGCATGAGGCCCTGGGTTCAATTCCTCAGCAGCACATAAGCAAAAAGAAAAAAGCCGGAAGTGATGCTGTGGCTCAAGTGGTAGAGCGCTAGCCTTGAACTGAAGAGCTGAGGGACAGCAGCGCCCAAGCCCAGAGTTCAGGCCCCACGACAGGACCCAAAAAAAAAAAATGTTACTCTTTGTTTATTGTTATTCTTTGGTAAGAGTTAATGATGGTCAAATGATAATCTCTCCTTTGCAAGGAACAAAGTAATGCAAACTGGCCACAGAGAGCGTAAAAGTGATTCAATATTTAAGTCACCACTGGATGCTAGTAGCTCACAGCCTTACTATTTTGAAAGCTGAGAATGAAAGGATTGCATTTCAAAGCTAGTTTGGGCATAAAAATTCACAAGACCACAGTAGTGGGCACAGTAGTCCATGCTTATTACCCTAAGCTACATGGGAAATAGATTGAGAGGATTGCAGTACCAGGCCAGCCTGGACAGAGAAGCCTACAAGACTCTTATCTTCACAGAGGGAGAACACATTGGCCTGTGATCCCAGGAACAATGGCAAGGCTAAAAGTAGGCTACTTACAGCCCAGACATTGTGGGAAGTCAGAACCTATCTCAAAAATAATCAGTGAGCCGGGCGCTGGTGGCTCACGCCTGTAATCCTAGCTACTCAGGAGGCTGAGATCTGAGAATCGCGGTTCAAAGCCAGCCCGGGCAGGAGAGACCGTGAGACTCCTATCTCCAATAAACCACCAGAAAACCAGAAGTGGCGCTGTAGCTCAAGTGGTAGAGCGCTCGCCTTGAGCTGAAGAGCTGAGGGACAGCGCCCAGGCCCAGAGTTCAAGCCCCACGACCGACAAAAAAAAAAAAAAAATCAGTGAAACCAGGCTGGAAGCATAGCTTAGTAATTTCAAGCCAGTAAGGCAAATGTGAGGCCCTAGTATTACAAAGAAGGAAAACAATTAAAAATCATAGAATAGATTTTGGCATGAGATGACCACAGCTATCCATCAGAGATCCTACAGATTAACAAGATGAGGCTAGGAAAAGACAACATCAAAGTCCTTTTCAACTAAAATTCCTGTAATTTTTTTTATTACTAGTCCCCAGTATCTTGATCTTGAGCTCTAAAACCAACCCCAAAGTCAGTCATTAAATTTGGTATATGTGGTCAGTATGGTGGCTCATACCTGTAATTCTAGCTCATGGGGAGAATATCAAGATTTGAGGACCGGGAGGCAAAAAGAGAGATGTCTACCTCAGCCAATAACTTGGATGTCATGTTGTGCCTGTCATCCCAGTTACATGGAAGTGTAAATAGGATTTGGGCATACATGTGAGACTCTGTCCCCCAAAAAGTTGAGGGTGTGGCTCAAGTGGTAGAGTGCCTAACAAACACAAGGCCCTGAGTTCAAACCACAGTATTCTAAAAATAAAAACAAAAGGTAATTGATAAACATATATACTTACTCTACATAAGGTAATATTACCAGCTGAAGGGGTAAGATAAATTGTCTCATATAAATACTGTAGAGACAACTGAATATCCACATACAAAAAATGAAATTGGACTCTTGTCACACCAAAGATCAATTCAAAGTATATTAAAGACAGTGTAAAACTTGAAACCATAAACCTCTTAGAAGCAAACATAAGGACTAAGCTGATTTTTTTAGCTATGACACCAAAACAAAGGCTACAAACATAAAAATAGACAAGATTACACCAAAGGAAAAAGCTTCTGCCTACATAAGGAAATAAAATGAAAAAGTACTCTATGAAAAGAGAGAAAATATTTGCAGACCATAAATCTGATGAGAGATTAATATCCAAACTTTTACCTGACTATCTAAGAAACTACCCCAATTTCAAAATGTGCAAGGGGCTAGAAATAGGGCTTGCTTAGTATTCATGAGGTCTTGATTCAACCCCCAACACTACAGGAAAAAAGAATGGACAAAATACCTGGATATTTCTCTAAAGAAATGAAAGGATCATTGGTTTTTAAAAAGTTCAACATCTTAATCATAAGGGAAATATAAAGTGAAACCACAAAACCTGAACGGCTGCTATCAAAAACGAAGCAGATGAAGCCAGTCATTGTGCATACCTGTAATCCCAGCATTTGGGAGGCTAAGACAGCATTATCACCAGTTTGAGACTAGCTAGGACTACATAGTGTGAGTTCAAGGCCAGCCTGGGCTACATAGAAAGATCTTGAACAAGAACAGAAAACAAAGGACAGCAGATGCTGGCAGAGATGTGGGGGAAAGGAGGCTCATCTTCAAATAACCACCAAAAAGCCAGAGGTTAAGTAGTAGATTTCCATCTTTGAGCAGAAAGCTAGTGGACAGCACCCAGGCCCTGAGTTCAAGTCTCAGTACCACACACACACAAAAATAAATAAATAAAAATCCAACTTTACAAATACATTAAGATTTGCTCAAAGGATAGATAGGTTTTAGGATAACTGTTCTTATCAAAAGAAAGGAAGAAAACCATGAAAACAGATGGTTCACCTGTACATACTTATCTCCAAACTCATTTAGTAGTATACATATTAATGTATACAGCCTTTTTATGTTAATTAGACCTCAATAAAAAGTGGTTAAAAAGAAATTGAAACTGTCCCATGACTGAGATATGTGCCAGGAAGAATGGTGATTTGTTTACTAGATTGCAGATTCCTTGGAATAAATCATATCTTCTACATCTCTGTGTAATCTAGACAATGCTGTATAATAGAAGAGTGCTCAAAAACTACTTGCTGACCAGCAGATTGGATAAAGCAAAGGAAATAGTCAAAACATAATAAAAACATAGGAACCTACTTCTGTGTGCCCTGGTTTCACAGTTGCATGACAAGCAATCATGAGAGAGCTATTAGGAAAGGGCCAGTGCTGGGATGCAGAGTACTGGAGGCTTTCCAACTCCAATCCCACCTCTTCTGCAACTTCGCGACGGACAGCATCTTCTATACACTCACCTGCAAGCAAATTAAATCAGGACAGCCGTGGTGCAGAAAGTTTATATATCGCACTGTATCAAAGCAGCTCATTTGTGAAGGAGTATAAAACGGGCTCTGTAGTCTCAATGAAATGCTTTTGAAAGTGTCCTAAATCTAGCGTTTCCAACAATAGGATGCAGGTCTGAAGTTTAATGTTGGACTGCAGTGCAAAGCCTACTAGATTAATTCTAATGTAAGGTAAGTATAGCAGTGGGTGAAGCTACTGCTGCCTTCAGCTTTAGAACAAGTCTCCTTTTCACTGTTATTAAGCCTTACCACAACAGATGAAGAACCAAAGCCCTACAAATAAATATGAAGTTCTAGTTAATATTCTGCATACTGAAATATTTAGGGAAGAGTCTTCTAAAGTCTGTAACCTATACATCAAAAAATAAGATAAACTGACCAGCAACACATGTAGTAAAGTTAATGTAGAAAAAAATTGTAGTTAAGTGGTAGGACTGTTCCATCTATACTATGTGTGTGAGAATGTGTCTAATGTAATGCTAGAAAGTTTTAATGCTAGAAGGCAAGATAGGAAAGAATGTGCCTGAGCACTATGATGGAACAAGTACCTACTATTAAATAGGCTTTTTTTTTTTTTTGGTCGGTCGGGGAGCTTGAACTCTGGGCTTAGGCGCTGTCCCTCTGCTCCTCATCTCAAGGCAAGCGCTCTACCATTTGAGCCACAGCGCCACTTTAAATAGGGTTTCTGTTCTCCATGATCACCTGTTTATCCCCTAAACTTACCTATATCACAAAAACCTGCCAGGGCAGAATATAATCCCTTGGGAAAGGAACTCTGGCGAGCAAGCAGACATCGAGACCCATCTGACACAAGAATGATCACCACAGGAGCCATCTAGGAAAGGAGAATGGAAACTGAGACACTGGCACTTGGGTCCTGTTAACAAGCAGAAAGAATGGGTAATTGGGGAAGCCTTTTGATTGTACAGGTCTTCTTCCCCAGGACAGAGACTTGTGTTTTCTTAAAGCACTTGTTTACCTGTGGGTAATAGATGATCTTATTAGAAGGGCACACACGCTTGCTGCCGGCCGTATTCTTCTTAGTGGGCTGCCCACTTCTGCTGCAGAACTGATGATTGTCATGCCAACGGAGAAGAGCCTGAGCCTAGAAATGCAAAGATGGCTCTCGCTTCATTTAGAGAAAATAGGTTCATCCATAATGGTACTGGGCCTAGTATCTTAAATAACTCCTAGGGAAATGCCAGCCCTTTTCCAGCTTACTTACTTTAAGTGGTTATTAACATATTCCTCTAGCACCAGAAATCTAAAAAGGAATCATGTTACTTGTTTCTTTTTCATTTCTGAGATTGGCTTTTTTTGTGCTGTCATGCACAAATTAGGCAAATGTTCTAACACTGAGCAACATCCTCATTCTGAAGAAAGCATTTTAAAATATGAGTTGATTAAAACAAAATATGTAAAATAAAAGATATTTATGATCCAACATAAAAAAAAACATTTGCTTTAGAGCAAATGTGAATATCTTACAGTATTCGTCTTTAGTGAAGCAGGAATTATTTGGGGGAGGGAGAGAGGGCAGGGAAAAGTGTTTAGAGGTTTCTTCTTTAATTTAAAATCACAACATCATAGCAGGTACCAGGCATAATAGTCCACACCAGTTGGCAGAGACAGGATCATGGTTCTTAGCCAGCCCAAGCATAAATCAGCAAGATCCTCTTTATTAAGCAATCTAAAAGCAAAAGGCTTGGGGGTGTGGCTCAAGTGTTGGAGAACTTAGGAAGTATATAAGGCCCTGAGTTCAGTCTACAAAACCACCACCAAAAAAGAAAAGCAAAACAAACAAAAAAAAAAAAGCAAAATCTGAATTTGCAAGGACAAGGCATTAAAGCAATGTAAAATTATTTTTCATACAATAGCTATGATTTATGTCATGGTGTGGGTCATTTTAAATGTTTATGAGACTGCAAGATCCTATTGCCACAGAACTGCATGTTCTTTTTTTTTTTTTTTTGCCAGTCCTAGGGCTTGAACCCAGGACCTGGGCACTATCCTTGAGCTTCTTTTGCTCAACACTATCACCCTACCACTTGAGCCACAGCGCCACTTCTGGCTTTTTCTGCTTATGAGGAATCAAACCCAGGGCTTCATGCATGCAAGGCAAGCACTCTACCACTAAGCCACCTTCCCAGCCCAGAACTTCATGTTCTTTTGAGAAAATAGTAGCTCTACCAAAAGCAAGGCTAGAACAAAGAAGAATAAGCAATCTTCCTACAGCATATTGTCCCACAAAGGTTTATAGGAAGAACTGTGGTCTACAGAAGATGAAATCAAGGGCTGGGAAGGTGGCTCAGTGGTAGAGTGCTTGCCTTGCATGCATGAGGCCCTGGGTTCGATTCCTCAGCACCACATAAGCAGAAAAAGCCAGTAGTGGAGCTGTGGCTCAAGTGGTGAGCACTAGCCTGGAGCTGAAGAGCTGAGGGACAGCACCCAGGCCCAGAGTTCAGGTCCCACAACTGACAAAAAAAAGGGCTCAACTATATACATATTTTATTAAACTCCTTACAGAAATCAGAAATAAGACTACCGTGAATAGCAAGGAGGAATCCATTGAATTCAGCTTAAATAAAGCCTTCCTCAGTTCAACGAAAGACCCTCTGAGCTCTGTCTCCATTTCAGGTTTTGGTACGGAGGCTAGAAAATTAAAAATAGAATGAAACTAAACAAATGTCAGATTTTGCCTCTGAGCCTATCTCTAGTCCCAAACTTACCTACTAAGACTCAACTGGGATATGGAAAGAACACAGATTCTTGCACAGCACCTGGGGCTTACACCTCTAATCCAAGCTAATCAGGAGGCTGAGATATGGAGGAACAAGGTTTGAAACCAACCTGAGCAGAAAAAGTTCATGAGGTTCCAGCTTCAAGAAAATCATCAAAAAGCAGTGCTAGACTGGACATTGAGGAAAATGAACTAAGAAACTCAAAGGCAGTGATCGCAGGGAGGGAATGAGAGGGAAAAAGGAAACAGCTTAAACTAAGCAAAAGGAAAGAAATGTAGATATCACCTGATGTGGAAGAAATAGTTGTATTGTCAAAGCTCAGAATTCACAAACATTATAGACCATGATAATGACAATTTGCAAGGTTAAAATATGTTTGTGACTTTAAGTATCACTATTCCACAATACTGTGAAATATGTGAAATTTATGTAATCACCTAATTTCAACAAAAAATTAAACAAAAAAAGCAGCACTGGAGGCATAGCTTAAGTGATAGTGGTATACTTCCAGCTGAGTAAGAGCCAAGTGAGTGCATAGGCCCCAAGTTCAAATCACAGTGCTTAAAACAAAATACCTTAAAAAAACACAACAAAAAACAAGTTCCCAAGTGTCTACCCAAAGATTCTAAGGAAGCAAACATGAAATGAGACCCAGACTTTTTTTTTTAATAAGCACCAGGTCATTTTTAGGCCATTTTGGGTAACAGCATAAGGTTTCTCAAGATCTTTAGGACAACAAGCTGATTTGTACTAGCCACAGACTCCTTAGAAAAGAGATGAAATGGGATCTCTAAGCTAGCTAAACCTCATTGCAGCATCATGACATTTATACCCAAACCTTGGAGAGAAGGAAAGCATGACAGGACCCATGAACCTAAGCAAAGTGGTTCCCAAATGCAGACCTTAGAACCTTCTGTATTGGTTTTTTTTTTTTTTTTTGGGTCCGGTCATGGGGCCTGGGCACTGCCCTTCAGCTCTTCAGCTCAAGGCTAGTGCTCTACCACTTGAGCCACAGTGCCACTTCCAGCTTTTTTCTTTTTGCTTATGTGGTGCTGAGGAATCGAACCCAGGGCTTCATGCATGCAAGGCAAGCACTCTACCACTGAGCCACCTTCCCAGCCCCAACCTTCTGTATTGGTAAGAGAAATTATGCCATAATTTTCCTTCCTTCCTTCCTTTCCTTCTTTCTTTCTTTCTTTTTTTTTTTTTTGTTGTTGTTGTTGGTCATGGGGCTTGAATTCTGGGTTTAGGTGCTGTCCCTTAGCTCTTCAGCTCAAGATGAGTACTCTACCACTTGAGCCACAGCACCATTTCCAGTTTTCTGGTGGTCAATTGGAGGTAAGAGTCTCAAGGATGTTTCTGCCCGGGCTGGTTTTGAACCATGATTCTCAGATCTCAGCCTCCTGAGTAGCTAGGATTACAGGCGTGAGCCACAGAGGCCCGACAGTAGGATTTTCTTAAAAGTGCTATTATATGAAATCCCAAAATCTATAATTACTGAGAAGTGCCCATTATGAATAATATTATGTACCATACATGGAAGATGAGCTATTCAGACCGAGGTCCAGAGCAAACCAAGCTTCATGCTGATCAGAACATCCAATCAGCACAGAATCTTCTATTACTTGTGCATCCTGTCCAAACTTACCCAGGAAACTTTCCAACTCTAGGAAAAAGAAAACAGGATTTCAATCACACCATCACTGCCATACTTTGAGGAAATAGTACAGTTTTGCTTAAAGTATACAGCTTCTGTGGAATAATCATTACAGAACACTCTAGATACCAAAATATTCAGATACTCAAATTCCTTATGAATGTAAATAAACTATTACTTTACCTGTGCGAACAGTAATACCATGCTACATTGTTTAGGGAATAAAGACAAGAATAAAAGTCTATTCATATTTAGTACAGATGTCATTTTTCCCCATTATTTTTGATCCATAGTTGAACCCAAGGATATGGAGGCCAACTGTACTTGGCTTAAAGTAACTTCCCTGTAGTTTACTTTACTGTAGTAACTGTGTAGTTTTGGTCTAATCACTTAGACTCGCTTGGTCTTTGCTTTTTTTTTTTTCTTTAACTTTTTCACTTTCATTTAAAGGCTCTGATAATGAGTTCATACATGTCATTACATTTTATTTGCCATATAATAGCCACCTATTTCCAAGTAGGGGGACATAAGATGTAGTACAATAATCATTTTAATATTAGTAATTTTAATAATTCTGAATTCTTTCTCTAAAAAGATTTGACTAAAATACAAAACATCCTTTGAAGCCAGGAGCTAGTGTAGCTCAGAAGTGCTGAGCTCTAAGGGTCAGGACCCCTACATTCAAGCCCCAGGACAGGCACAAATACACATACACAAAATCCTTGTAACAAAACTAGCAATGATGGGCTGGGAAGGTGGCTCAGTGGTAGAATGCTTGCCTTACATGCATGAGGCCCTGGGTTCAATTCCTCAGCACCACACAAGCAGAAAAAAAAAGTCGGAAGTGGCACTGTGGCTCAAATGGTAATGTGCTAGCCTTGAGCTGAAGAGCTGAGGGACAGTGCCTAGGCCCAGAATCCAGGCCCTACAACCAATCAAAAAAAAACTAGCAATGAAACTTTAGGAGCTTACAAAAGATGTCTCTTGGAGGAGAAGAAATCAAGTCATTCCCTTTGGCAGAGAAACTCAAGCTGAGTGAGATAAACTAGTATAAGCTAGGAAGGAGCATCATGTGGCTAAAAAAGAACAGTTCCTGACAAGGACTTCCTCATGCCAAGCTCACAACCACCTAATGATGACTCATACTATAGGGAAAAACAAATAAATAAAAAATATGCTCTTTCTTTAATGACAGGAGAGATGATGCTTACAAATGGTCCTCTTTCTGAAGTCTATGAAACAGGTAGAGGTCATAAATGGGATATGTTAAATGTCCCTTTATTTTCAATACCATCTTCAACTGTAAACCCAAATCAAATACCAGCCTGAGAACTGTAATTCACTCAAACTGTAATTTGCTCATTGCTACCACATGAGGCTTCCAGTAGCACATAGATACAAAGACTTAACTCTTCCTAATTGGGACAAGCCAAGGCAGAGGCTCTGCTTAGGTCACTTAATACACTTCTGTTTCCAGAAGCCACTGGTGGGACTGTCCCACTTAGGTTTCTTGCCTTCAGGTGAAGGACTACATATTTGTGCTGGTTTCCTGGTAACCTATGAAGAATGAACATGTTTCTCAGGTATGGACTCAGATTTCAATTTGATGGCACCTGGAGCAGACTCTACCGATATCACCAAAACATTTGAATTTACCTTTCTTATTTTCTAGTGGGGATTTTGCCTTCTTTCTTTTTAATTTCTTTAACTTTACCTTTTGTCACAGTGACATCTTCATTCTCATCAAAGTCAGAATCATCCTCAGAATCTTCACCTTTTGGGGACAAAAATAGACTTCATACTTGACATCTCAGAAAAGACACCATGTGTGGTTGTTCCACTTTTGGTTGGTTCAGTTGATGCCAGCCAGAATAATGTAAAGATTCTCTCCAACGTGTTGATGAGCTTCACCTAAATCAACAGTGTCAGTATGATCTTCAAACCATGATTTCTTTATCATTTCCTGTGATTCTGTCTTGATATCATTAATATTGTTCTATCACAGAGCAGATTCCTCTGTTGAACTGTCACAGCTTTAGGCACTTCTTTTTCTTTGACCTTGAACACCAAGGTCATCATTTTCCACCATTATCTTGTCCAAATCTAAACAATCACTGACAATGCTGCAATTAGAGATACGAGGAAGCTTACTCGTTTTTTTATTGTTGCCATGGCTTTCAATACTTTTGTCTGGAGACTTGTGCACATGATTGGTGACTGGCAGTTCCTTGATACAAAGATATAGCAACCTCTAAGCCTCTCTGAGAGATCTTGTTTTCCAAAGCAGCCTCTTTTTTTTAGTTTTAGTTTTGTTTGTTTTTTCTCTTGCAGTAAGATGTCTTCTTTCTGGAAATTATTCATTAGCTTTGGGTTGTCTCCTTTTAACTCCTTTGATACTGGATATCTTGTTTAAAGGTACAGGCGCAGACACAAAATCATCATCTCTGGTCATCAGGCTATGAGTAATTGACTAGTTTCTTGTTTCACACTGGGCACACATCATGGTCTATTTAAGAATGGAGATCTGAGCTGGCTGGGCATTGGTGGCTCACACCTGTAATCCTAAACTACTCAGAGGCTGAGAAGCCAATTTAGGCAGAAAAGTCCATGAGATTTATCTTCAGTTAACCACCAAAAGCAAGCCAGAAGTGGAGCAGGGGCTCAAGCCTTGAGTAAACTCAGTGCCCAGACCCTGAGTTAAAATCTCTCTCTCTCTCTCTCTCTCTCTCTCTCTCTCACACACACACACACACACACACACACACGAATGGAAATCTGCAACTCTAGGTAGATGACAACAGTGGTAGTTTTTTATTCCAGCCTAAAAATAGACATTATTCTCCCTGCTCTGGTGCTGGTAGTTGTGCAGTCACCAGCAGTCAGGCCTCTGCTTTTTCTTTTCTTTTTTTTTTTTTTTTGGGGGGGGCGGATCCGGTCGTGGGGCCTGAATTCTGGGCCTGGGCGCTGTCCCTCAGTCTTCAGCTTAAGGCTAGCGCTCTACCACTTGAACCACAGTACCACTTCTGGCTTTTTTCTTTTTGCTTATGTGGTGCTGAGGAATTAAACCCAAGCCCTCATGCATGCAAGGCAAGCGCTCTACCACTGAGCCACCTTCCCAGCCCACCTCTGCTTTCTTATCAGAAATCAAAGAAGGAATTCTGTGTATCTGTGATTACTCTGATAGTATGATAGACTTAATGTAAGTCTTGTTCATAATATACATGATAGTTAAGTTGTAAGGGCATTGAAAAAGAGAAGTATTACACTTAAAATACTAGAGACAAGTCTAGCTCCATAATTAGCTTCTAGACTGTGTTGCTTTGGTAAACCAGAGTGGAATACTCACTTGAGATCCTGGTCTGTGAAAAGGAATTGCTATGTAGAGAAAAAGCCTGTGCATCAAGGACTCATTTATTTGCTCATTATACAATATAACATTGCTAAATCTCTACATGATGTTTTCGTTTTCTAACAAAGTCCTTGTATTCTTCTGCATTACTGGAAACTTCCCGTCCAAGTACTCCAACATGTGACCCATGGAGAAATTCACCGGGGGCTGGGAAGGTGGCTCAGTGGTAGAGCGCTTGCCTTGCATGCCTGAGGCCCTGGGTTCGATTCCCCAGCACCACATAAGCAAAAAGAAAAAAGCCGGAAGTGGCGCTATGGCTCAAGTGGTAGAGCGCTAGCCTTGAGCTGAAGAGCTGAGGGACATCGCCCAGGCCCAGAGTTCAGGCCCCACGACCGGACCCAAAAAAAAAAAAAAGAAAAAGAAATTCACCGGCAGAGGATTCAGAAGTTAGTATATGGTGACTAACTGTACTTACATATCAATATAAAACTGAAAGCTAATATTTGAATGTCAAATTCCAGCTTGTAGTCCTAGCCAAAGGAGATTGAGGCCAAGAGGACCCATCTCAAAATAAATAAATAGCAAGTCCCAATGACTTAGACCAATAATTATATAAACTAAGAAGTCCTCAAATTAATTCATTGTAAATTTTCATACCCTAGTAAAAATTAAATTAGGATACAAATCTTACACTATGTAACTGCAACTTCACTAAGGCCCAAGTTGACAAATTTTCTCTATAAAGGGATACTAATTTTGTTAATTCTTGTGAGTAATCCAGTGTTGGTTAAAATCACCCAACTGTCATTGAAGAGATAATGTAAACCAATAAGTAGGGCTGTGTGCCAATAGTTTTTTTGTTTTTTTTTTTTCCCCCAATCCTGGGGCTTGACCTCAGGGCCTGGGCACTGTCCCTGAGCTTCTCTTGCTCAAGGCTAGCACGCTACCACTTGAACCACAGCGCCACTTTTGGCTTTTTCTGTTTCTGTGGTACTGAGGAATGGAGCCCAGGGCTTCATGCATGCTAGACAAGCACTCTACTACTAAGCCACATTCCCAGCTGCCAATAAAAATTTTATTTACAAACCAGGCAGCCAAGTCCAGTTTACATAGCAATTTTACTGATGGGGCAACTATGGTTCATACAGTACTAAACTTAATTGGCAGAAGCAATTATTAGTGTGAGACTCAGAAGCTGAGAAAACTGAGAAATCTAGACTCTAAGGTTCAAAGATATTTGGGGGAGATTCAATATGGTCAGGATTTAGCTTGTGGGCACAGGCTGAGGTGGCCACCTGTATACTCTGGGCTTACCTAATAGGCTAAGCCGGGGGACCAGGTATTGATGTTCTGCTGTCCGAAGTAAAGGCGCCAGGCTATGGAAGAGGTAAAATGCTCCTGTCTGCTGGGCTTTTTTACAAGCATCATCATCTTCCTTCAGTTCAAATAAATACCTATATTTGGGAAATTATTAGTTCATAAGACCAGGCTTAGTTATTTGGATACACTCATTTTTTGAGAATTCTCCTGCATCCTTCTCCTAGCATAGTTAATTCTTTTATCTATTTACATCTTAATTGTTCCAAAAAAGGACTTGAGGCGGCTTCAGGCCATCGTTCATCCCACTTCTACTACACACAGCTTGCCCATAGTTGTGTATTTAAGTCTGTTCCCTTCTGTGAAAGACTGTAATCTTTTTTTTTTATTTTTTGTCGGTCCTGGGGCTTGAACTCTGGGTCTGGACGCTGTCCCTCAGCTCTTCAGCTTAAGGCTAGCACTCTACCACTTGAAGCTACAGCACCACTGCCGGTTTTCTGGTGGTTTATTGGAGATAGGAGTCTCATGGTCTTTCCTGCCCGGGCTGGCTTTGAACCGCGTTTCTCAGATCTCAGCCTCCTGAGTAGCTAGGATTACAGGCGTGAGCCACCAGTGCCTGGCTGTCTATGACCTTCTTTAGGGCAGCATCTGCCTTTCTAACCTCTGCATGTCAGTCATGGCTCAATTCAATAAATATTTATTGATGGGGTTGAGAAGGTGGCTCAAGTGGTAGAGCGCTCGCCTTAAGCTGAAGAGCTGAGGGACAGCACCCAGACTCAGAGTTCAAGCCCTATGGCCGACAAAAAATAAATAAAAAATTTATCGACTTGAACTTCAAGGGTGGTAAATATTGAACTTTAAGGTATTTTGCCAATACTACACTATTAGGCAAGAAATTACAGGTAGTGGAGTGAAAGAAAAACAAGTATAATGACGAAAACATCAGACAGATAGCCTAGAGATGGAAGCATTCTTCATGAGTGCAGAGTTCATGGCACACCTTCAGTAGCTCTTAGTCAATCCAGGAGCGATAACTACCACCCTTATCTATCAGGACTGAAAGGGATCATTGATCACATAGGCTGACCAAGTTAAAATAATAAAGATAAGTTGGCAGTGGCTCACACCTGTAGTCCTAGCTATTCTGGAGATTGAGATTTGAGGATTGCAGTTCAAAGCCAGCCTGGGCAGGAAACTGAGGTTTTTATCTCCAATTAACCACCAGAAAACAGGAAGTGGTACTGTGGCTCAAGTGGTACAGTGCTGGCCTTGAGCTGAAGAGCTGAGTGTCAGCATCCAGGCCTAGAATTCAAGCCCCATAATCCACAATAATAATAATAATAATATATTCCTTCATCTTCTTGTTATTAAGTAGTTGTACAAAAGGGTATAATCCCATAAATCAGATTTAAGTACAATGCTTCTTTTGGGGGGGAGGGTGGCTTTTGGCCGGTCATGGCGCCTGAACTCTGGGCCTGGGCACTATCCCTCACCTCTTCAGCTCAAGGCTAGTGCTCTACCACTTGAGCCATAGCGCCACTTCTGGCTTTTTCTGCTTATGTGGTGCTGAGGAATCGAACCCAAGGCCTCATGCATGCAAGGCAAGCGCTCTAGCACTGAGCCACCTTCCCAGCCCAGTACAACGCTTTCTTAGTCAATTGTCACCCCTTCCTTTGTTAACCCATTCCTTTGTTCTCCTTCTTTGTCCTCCTCCCATACCTGCCCTCAAGTTATATAGAATACATATAGCAAAAATTAAAATACTGAAAAAAATCAACATGTCAAAAAACATCCTCTTATTGGAGATAATAACAGGAAAAGTCCTGTACTTTTCCAGTACCTTTATTAAGGCTGATATGAATCTCCAGTGTCTGGAAATGGAGGCAGAGTCCATGCTTTATCAGTAAATATAGACTGAATGTAAGTTCTATAGCTTTAGGATAAAAATCATTAATAACCATTTGACCTATCAAAACCCTAAAACAGCTGGGTTGAAATCCTAGCTACTCAGGAGGCTGAGATCTGAGGATCATGATTCAAAGCCAACCTGGACAGAAAAATCCCCATGAGACTCTTATCTCCAATTAACCACCAGAAAACCAGAAGTGGTGCTGTGCCTCTACGTGGCAGATCACTAGCGTTAAACAAGAGCTCAGGGACAGTGCCTAGGCCCTGAGTTCAAGCCCCATAACTGACTAAAACAACCCAAAAATCCCTGAAACAGTGCAGTGGATTGCAGCTCAGTGACTCAGCACTTGTCTCACAAGTGATCAGTTAAATACCAACATTACAAAATAAATCCCCCAAAAAACAAAAAACACCCGGGCGTTGGTGGCTCACCTCTGTAATCTTAGCTCCCCAGGAGGCTGAGATCTGAGGATATCTGTTCAAAGCCAGCCTGGGCAGGAAAGTCCATGGGATTCTTATCTCCAATTTAAATACCAGGAAACTGGAAATGGCTCTGTGACTCAAAGTGGTAGAGCATTAGCCTTGAGCTGAAGAGCGCAGGGGAAGTGCCCGGGTCCAGAGTTCAAGCCCCATATTCGTCCGGAAAAAAAACCAAAAAACCCTACCAGAACACCTGGGTTAAGGTCTTAAACCCAGGGCCTCATCTGAACTGGCAATGAGATCCCGGAGTCCTTTACCCTCTCCCTCAATGAGGAATTTTTTTTCTCCCTTTAGTTATAATAGCATGGAACCAAAATTTTCAAGGATAAAAATATTTAGAGGATTTTTAAACTTTGGCAATATTTTTCTTATTATAATAGTAAGAATAGCAATTCTTAAAAAAAAAGTCAGGCAATATAAATTGTGTGTACCAATCTTTGAACTCAGGGCCTGGGTGCTGTCTGAGCTTTTTTATTCAAGGCTAGTGCTCTACCACTTGAGACACATCTCCACTTTTAGTGGTTAATTGCAGATAAGAATCTTATAGACTTCCTGCTGGGGTGGCTTTGAATTCAGATCTCAGCCTCCTGAGTAACTAGTATTGTAGGCTTGAGCCACCAGCACCTGGCTATCAATAATCATTTTTTTTTTTTTAATGTTTGGGTCCGGTGGTGGAACCTGAACTCTGGGCCTGGGCGCTGTCCCTCAGCTCTTCAGCTCAAGGCTAGCACTCTACTACTTGAGCCACAGTGCCACTTCCTGCTTTTTTCTTTTTGCTTATGTGGTGCTGAGGAATTGAACCAGGGCCTCACGCATGCAAGGCAAGCGCTCTACCACTGAGACACCTTCCCAGCCCCAATAATAAATTTTTTAAAAACAGAAAATCACTAACAATGTCTCTAAGCAGAAATAATCACCATTTACAGTTAAAATTCTCCAAGTTATCATCTTATGTGTCAGTTGTGTCATACCTAGGTATATTTATATGCCTATGTAATACAGTGTATATGTAGTGTATGTTTAGAATAAGCCAAGCTTCTGCTTTTGTGACCTTTTTTTCCTTAAACATTTTTACATCATAAAGTATTAGTTGAAGCCGGGTGCCGGTGGCTCACTCCTGTTATCCTAGCTACTCAGGAGACTGAGATCTGAGGATCGCGGTTCAAAGCCAGCCCGGGAAGGAAAGACTGTGAGACTATGATCTCCAATAAAACCACTAGAAAACCGGAAGTGGCTCTGTAGCTCAAGTGGTAGAGTGCTCGCCTTGAGCTGAACTGCTGAGGGACAGTGCTCAGGCCCAGAGTTCAAGCTCCACAATTTAAAAAAAAAAAAATATATATATATATATATATTAGTTGATAGACTTATGATTTTGATTCATTTCAAATATGCTTAATCAGTTTAGATACTTTTAGACTCTTTAATATTATTATTGTTCTTAGAGTCTCAACCTGAGAAGCACAGCAATCTAAATGTTCAATAATAGCGGGACGTCGTCGGGGCTGGGAAGGTGGCTCAGTGGTAGAGTGCTTGCCTTGCATGCATGAGGCCCTGGGTTCAATTCCTCAGCACCACATAAGCAAAAAGAAAAAAGCCGCAAGTGGCGCTGTGGCTCAAGTGGTAGAGTGCTCGCCTTGAGCTGAAGAGCTGAGGGACAGTGCCCAGGCCCAGAGTTCAGGCCCCACGACCGGACCAAAAAAAAAAAAAAAATAGCGGGACGTTGGTGGCTCACTCTTATCTCCAATAAACCACCAGAAAACCAGAAGTGGCCCTGTGGCTCAAGCAGTAGAGCACTCATCGCCTTGAGCTGAAGAGCGCAAGGACAGCGCCAGGCCCAGAGTTCAAGCCCCACGACAGACAAACAAATAAAAATAATAAATGTCCAATAATATCTTAAACAAATTCTGCAATTCAGTTGTTGGTTGGCTCTTGCTCAGGAAGGATTTTATGATAATGACCCCCTGCATTTTGGTCTGAACACTCAAGGTTGGGAGTCTTTCTGCATGGGAAGCCTGGTTGTGTATCTAGACTCCTCTAAGGATTACATTTGCATCTGGAAGTTGTCCTGGGGATGACTAGTCCAGGATTACCACACTCTTTATTCCTTGTGTTGAGAGTTCCTAGGCCACACTAGACATGTTACAAATGTAAACTAAATCTGAGAGCAGGCTAGTGATTTCACATTTACAGATTTCATATTTCTTCAGGCTAACACAAAGCTCTTTATCGTCTTCCTATGCTCTTGTAATTTTCTTCTACCTTTCACTGAAGTTTGTTTCTTTTAGGGGAGGAAAGGTCTAGCAATTATCCACATTACTTTTTTTTTTTTTTTTTTGCTGGTCGTGGGGCCTGAATTCTGGGCATGGGCGCTGTCCCTCAGCTCTTCAGCTCAAGGCTAGCGCTCTACCCCTTGAGCCACAGCGCCACTTCCAGCTTTTTCTGCTTATGTGGTGCTGAGGAATTGAACCCAGGGCTTCATGCATACAAGGCAAGCAAGCGCTCTACCACTGAGCCACCTTCCCAGGCCCTCCACATTACTTTTAAGAAACTTCATGAAACTATTCGATATAGTTTTTTTTATAGTTTTTTTTATGTGTTTATTGTTCCACTTAAGTTAATTTCTCCTTTACTATTCATTCATTTAACAATATTTCAGTGTCTACTATGTTCTAGGTACTATTCACTATTTAGGCAGTAAAGATACTTATAGTGGAAAAGACAGAGTCTTATCTCTGGGTTGAGAATGTGGCTTAGTAGTAGCATGCCTAGCATGCATGAAGCCCTGGGTTCAATTCCTCAGTACCACATAAACAGAAAAAGCCAGAAGTGGCTCTGTGGCTCATAGTGATAGAGCGCTAGCCTTCGGCTCAGAGACAGAGCCCAGACCCTGAGTTGAAGCCCCAGGACTGGCAAAAAGAAAAGTCTTATCTCTACTGGCAGCCTAGTAGGGCTTGAACTAAGGTCCTTCTGTTTTCTAGGCAAGCATGGTACTGCTTGAACCATAATCCCAGTTCTTCTTACTTTGGTTATTTTTCAGGTAAGGTCTTATGCTTTGCCCAATGCTGACCTCAAATTTCCAGCCTCCTATGATGGCTTCCCACATAGCTGAGATTATAGGCATGAACTACCTACCACACTAAGCTTGTTCTTTGAGACAGATCTTCACTAACTTTTTTCCCCCTTGGGCTTCTCTCTCTATCTCCCAAATAGCTTAGATAACAGGTATAAGCCACCCTGCCAAGTCTGATGAAGCTTTATTTAAATAGAATTTAAGTCAAATTTTTTATTTAAAGTTTTATTCAAGTAGAATTTGTATTCAAGAATGTTACATTAGGCTGGGAAGGTGGCTCAGTGGTAGAGCACTTGCCTTGCATGCAAGTGCTGGGTTCGATTCCTCAGCACCACATAAACAAAAAGAAAAAAGCCGGAAGTGGCCTTGTGGCTCAAGGGGTAGAGTGCTAGCCTTGAGCTTAAGAGCTGAGGGACAGCGCCCAGGCCCAGAGTTCAGGCCCCACGACTGGACCCAAAAAGAAAAAAAAAAAGAATGTTACATTATAGGTATTTTAGGTATTATTGGAAAGAAGTTTGTTTAGAAAGTTTTCAATTTAAATTTCAGTTGAAAAAAAATTCATTCCAAAAGAACATTATCATGGGCAATTTTTTTTAAAATTTTTATTATGGGGCTTGAACTCAGTGCCAGGGCACTGTTGCTGAGCTTTTTCATTGAAGGCTAGCACTTTAACATTTTGAGCTACAGTGCCACTTCTGGTTTCCTGGTTAATTAGAGAGAGGAGTCTCAGAGACTTTCCTGCCCTGGCTGGGTCTGAACTGCAATCCTCAGATCTCAGCCTCCTAAGTAGCTAGGATTACAGGCATGAGCCACCAGCACCTAGCTAATGGGCAACTTTATCATAGATCTTCAATGCTCAATAGGGGATTTAATTTTAAAAAAAACTAAATAGAGTAATTAGAGCTCAGGTTGGTCAGAACTCACCGTGTCTTTGTGACATAGCTTGACAGTAGCCTATAGCACCAAAAAGATTTTCTCTTGAAAGCAATTCTACAGTATAAAGACATTGTCAGGTCCCTGAAAGAAAGAGGAGTTAAAAAAAAAAGATTTATACTGTGCATTTTAAAGTAATGAGTCACTAAGAAAATTATATTTTAAGTCAGGATAAAATCACTTTGCAATACTAAAGAAAGGGAAACTAAATAGGAGTCAGATGATCTGGCTTCTACCACTAACTAACTATAAATATAAAATTCTCCATGCGGGCTAGGCCCTGGGTTTAATTCCTCAGCACCACCTAAGCAAAAAGAAAAAAAAGCCGGAAGTGACGCTGTGGCTCAAGTGGTAGAGCGCTAGCCTTGAGCTGAAGAGCTGAGGGACAGCGCCCAGGCCCAGAGTTCAGGCCCCACGACCAGACCCAAAAAAAAACAAAAAAACAAATAAAATTCTCCATGCTGCTTCCTTAATCTACAAAACTGAAACCTGTTCCACTAAGCTAGTAGTTTGTGAGAATAAGCTAACATTAAAAATATATATATTCTCCTCCTTCATGTAGTGGAGCTATTGGGAGGTGACTGCAAAGCCCAGGCCTACATCTCTATTATGTCTATGCTCTTTCCTCCTCTCTTCTTCCCCGCTCCCTCCTCATTTAAACTCAGGGCTTTGCACTTGCTAGGCAGGCTACTCTTCTGCCCTAATGTATTTGAACAACTGAAACTGATGTTTCCCTTCTCCGTCCTCTCCATCCCAACAGGTCATTCAAACTCATAAAACTCCATGGAGTCATTACAAATAGTCTGGACCTTCCCGCATGCGTGGGGGAAAAAGTCACCCTCTGCACTGGATTATTTGTGAGTGAGAAATAAACTTCTACCCTTTTTTTTGGGGGGGAGGGGGGTGTTGCTCAGTTCTAGAGCACTTAGCTAGCATACACAAAGCCCTAGGCTCCATTCCCAAGCACTGCAGACGTAAGATAATAATTAAAAAGAAAACCTCTATCATATTAAGATACAGAAATCTTTTTTTTTTTGGGGGGGTGGCAAGGAGTAGAGCTAGAGGTCAAACCCAGGGCCTTAATACATGCTAAGCATATACTCTGCAACTGCACTGTAACCCCTCGCCACATTAACAGCTGAACTCTTACCTGTTATAACGCTAGCATTATCCTAAGAGACCAAGTAACAAGTGTGGGATATCTCCAAAATAATGAGCGTCAGGTATCAAGAATTCATAAAAAATCGCTGGGTGCCAGGGGCTCACACCTATAATCCTAGCTACTCAAGGGGGCTGAGATCTGAGGATCACAGTTCAAAGCTAGCCCAGGTAGAAAAGTCTGTGAAAGTCTTATCTCCAATAAACTACCAGACAACCGGAAGTGGCGCTGAAGTTCAAGTGGTAGAGAGCTCACCTTGAGCTGAGGAGCGCAGGGACAGCACTCAGGCCCAGAGTTCAAGCCCCACGACCGACCAAAAAAAAAGGCAGCTATGTAAATTCACATTACTCCAAGATCTTTTCTTTTTGTAGCTCAGTGGAAGAGGAAAAACAATTCTGTATTTGAAATTCCAGTTTGTAGAAGATGGTTCCTTTTATTTTTTGCTGTTTTTTTTTTTGGTGCTAGAGATTGAACCCAAGGCCTCATCCATCCTAGGCCCTCTACTACTGAGCTATATCTTCAGCCCAGTGGCTCCTTTTAAATTGTATATCATTATTTCCTTCCCCATTCAAAATACCTTTCACATTAGTAGTCAAAATGTCAAATTCCACTGAAATTAATGAGAAAACCAGTAGTTAAATAATGAACCATCTTTTTAACTATGCCAAAGAGAAGGAAGCTTTAATATTGACCTACCAAGGAACAGCTGAAGTTTAGACCTACTTCTTGGTTGCATAATTATGAGTCATTGGTGACTAATCCTTGCAGAGTTTTGGCTACAATCTTATGTCCTAGGCAAGGGTAAAATATATTTAGCAAATGAGAGTCCACAAAATACCTATTGAGTACTGACATTATGCAAGATCTCTTAAGAAATTAAAAAAATATAAAAGATGAAAATCCCTGTCCCCATGGAATTGCAGGAGGAGAAAGGAAATAATTTTCACAAAAAGCAGTCTGGCTATATGGGTTTTAATAATCCCAAGGACTTGTATGAAAAAAGTTAAAAATGTTTTACAGTTAATTTTCCTAGCTCATATACAATTCAGGAAAAGTAAACATATCTATGCTGGGGTTTGAGCTCTACCACTGAGCCATTCCTCCAGCCCTGTTGTAGGCTAGTTATTTTGGAGATAGGGCCTCACTTCCTGCCCAGGACACCTAGATCATAATCTCCCTTTAGTAGGCTTCCTGTAGTTGCTGGGATGACAGACTGTACCCTCCCTCTGTTGTGATTGAGTCTTGAGGACTTTTCTGCCCTAGTCTGGCCTAGAACCTTAGTCTTCCCAACCTCAGCCTCCTATATAGATTAGGAGAACAGGTATGTGCCAATAAGCCCAGTTATGAGTTGACAAAGGATCTTGTGAAATTTTCTGCCTAGGCTTGCTTGAAATGAAATTTCCCCATTCTCAGCCTTTCAAGTGCCAGGATTATAGACATGAGCTACTGGTGCCTGCCTTGATGCAGTATTTTAAAGATTAACTTAAGAATATTTTAAAATGTTGAGCTGGGAATGTGGCTTAGTGGTAGAGTGCTTACCTAGCATGCATGAAGCCCTGGGTTCAATTCCTCAGTATCACATAAACAAAAAAAAAGAAAGCTGGAAGTGGCACTGTGGCTCAAGTGGTAGAGTGCTAACCTTGAGCAACAGAAGCTCAGGGATAGTGCCCAGGCCCTGAGTTCAAAACCCAGTACTGAGCCTGGTGCAAGTGGCTCACGCCTGTAATCCTAGCTACTCAGGAGGCTGAGATCTGAGGATCGCGGTTCAAAGCCAGCTCGGGCAAGAAAGTCCATGAGACTTTTCTCTCCAATAAACCACTCAAAAACCAGAAGTGGTGCTGTAGCTCAAGCGGTAGAGCACTTGCCTTGAGCTGAAGAGAGCAAGGACAGCGCCCATGCCCAGAGTTCAAGCCCTATGACCAACAAAAAACAAAACAAAAAAAAACAGTACTGGCAAAAAAATATTTTAAAATGTTAAATAATCATCCCTTTCACATAACAATTCCATTTCCAGGAATTTATCTTAGGAAAAAAGGATATACAAGAATGTTATAATATAGTGAAAAGTATGTATAGTGACAGAGAAATTTAATCAGAATATATCAAATTAAAAAAAAAAAAAGACCAGGTGGCAAAGGAGAGATGTTGTTTAAATGGTACAAAGTTTCATTTAGGATATATAAGTTCTGGAGACGTAGTGTACCACATGGTGACTAGTATATCTGAAAATTACTAAAGGAATGTCTTGGGTTGGGAATGTGGCTTAGTGGTAGAGTGCTTACCTAGCATACAAGAAACCCTTAGTTTGATTCCTCAATACCACATAAACAGAAAAATCCAGAAGTGGTGCTGAGTCTTAAGTGGTAAGGTACCAGCCTTGAGCAAATAAACTCAGGGACAGCATCCAGGCTCCAAGTTCAAGCCCCAGGACTGGCACCAAGAAAAAAAAATAAGAAGAGTCAGGCACTGGTGGGTCAATACTAGCTACTCAGGCAGCTGAGATCTGAGGATTGTGGTTCAAAGCCCAGGCAGGAAAATCCCCATGAGATTCTTATCTCCAATTAACCATCAGAAAACCGGAAGTGGCGCTGTAGCTCAAGTGGTAGAGCGCTTGCCTTGAGCTGAAGAGCTGAGAGACAGCACCCAGGCCTGGAGTTCAAGCCCTATGATTGACCCCAAAAAAAAAAGAAAAGAAAAGAAAAGAAAAAAGAATAAGTCTTAAACTAGTCACTGATAATTTATTCTTTAATCCTAGCTGTTAAGGAGGTTGAGTCCTGGAGGATTAAAGTTTGAGGCAAGCCTAGACAAAAAAGTCCAGGAGAGGGCTGGGAAGGTGGCTCAGTGGTAGAGCGCTAGCCTTGCATGCCTGAGGCCCTGGGTTCAATTCCTTAGCACCACATAAGCAAAAAGAAAAAAGCCGGAAGTGGTGCTGTGGCTCAAGTGGTAGAGCGCTAGCCTTGAGCTGAAGAGCTGAGGAACAGCGCCCAGGCCCAGAGTTCAGGCCCCACAACTGGACCCCTCCCAAAAAAAAATAGTCCAGGAGACTCTTATCTCCATTTAACCAGAAAATTGCCAGAAGAATGGAGGTATGGCTCAAGTGATAGTGCAACAACTATGAGCAACAATGATGAGAGCTTGAGGCCCTGTGTTTAAGCCCTAATATTAAAACCAATAGAAAGGAAGGAGAAGAACAAATCTAAAATGTCTTAACAACAATAAAAAAAATGACAAGTAGCTGGGTGCCAGTGGCACATGCCTGTAACCCTAGCTACTCAGGATGCTAAGATCTCAGGATCACAGTTCAAAGCCAGCCCAGGCAGGAAAGTCTGTGAAACTGCTATCTCTAATTAACTACCAAAAAGCCGGAAGTAGAGCTGTGGCCCAAGTCATAGAGCACTAAGCTTAAGCAAAAACACTCCAGGACAGTGCCCAGGTCCTGATTTCAAGCTACAGGACCAGCACACACACACAAAAGACAAGTATGCAAGGTGAAGGAGCTAATAAGTAGCTTGATTTAATTCTATAATGTATCATGTATGAAAACAAATTGCACATTATAAATATACAACTTTTATCAATTACACTTTAAGCTGGAGGGGGAAAAAATCAAGTAATATTTGGTAACTAATTTATATATATAAAAAAAAAAGACAGGGGCTGGGAAGGTGGCTCAGTGGTAGAGCGCTTGCCTTGCATGCATGAGGCTCTGGGTTCGATTCCTCAGCACCACATAAGAAAAAAGAAAACAGCCAGAAGTGGCACTGTGGCTCAAGTGGTAGAGTGCTAACCTTGAGCTAAAGAGCTGAGGGACAGCACCCAGGCCCAGAGTTCAGGCCCCACGACTAGACCCCCCCCCCCCCCCCAAAAAAAAAAGTCATATGGGAGTGGCACTGTATGCTAGCCTTGAGCACATAGAAGCTCAGGGACAGTGCCCAGGCGATGAGTTCAAGACCCAGGACTGGCAAAAAAAGATGTACATATATATTCCAATATGCACAAATTAGTTATGCATTTATATGTTTCAAATGACTAGAAGTACAAATACAAAAGTAACCAGTGACTAATTTGGGAGAAATATAAAGATTGAAAAAAGTACTTATTTTTACTTTAATAATTTCTATACTTAAAAATTTAACTGTAAGCCAGGTGCTGGTGGTTCATGCCTGTAATCCTAGCTACTCAGAAGGCTGAGATCTGAGGAGCATGGTTCAAAGCCAGCATGGCAGGAAAGTCTATGAGGTTCTTATTTCCAATTAATCACACAAAAAACTGAAGTGGGTCTGTGTCTGAAGTGGTAGATTGTTAGCCTTGAGCATAAAGAAGCTTAGGGACAGCACCTAGGTCCACAGTTCAAGCTTCCAGACAGGTTAAAAAAAACTATATACAATATATTCACTTTATGATATAATCAAGGTTGGGCACCAGTGGCTCATACCTGTAATCCTAGCTACTCAGGTTACTTAGATTTGAGAATAATGGTTCAAAGCCAGCCTGGGGGTGGGGGCATGGGGGGTGAAGTACTTGAGATTCTTATCTCTAATTAATCACTAAAAAAGCCAGAAGTGGAACTGTGGCTCACGTGCTATAGTACTAGCCTTGAGCAAAAAAGCTCAGGGACGGCACCTAAACCCTGAGTTCAAGCCCCAGATCTAAAAAGAGATATAAGCAAGTAAATTAGGTATTGTAGTACATACCATCCCAGCTTAGGTAGAAGGATCTTGAGTTTGAGACCAGCCCAGGTTACATAGCAAGAAAAAGAAAAGAAGAAAAAAAGCTAGCTGTAGTGGCTCGTTCTTGTAATCCCAGCTTTGAGAGGCAGAGATTGGGAGCATCATGGTTTGAAGCTAGGTAAAGCAAAAGTTATGGAAACACTGCTTCAACCAGCACCTGGGTGTGGTGACATCCTATCATCTCAGCTATGTGGGAGGCATAAATTGGAAGATCATGGTCCAGGCTGGTCCAGGGAGAATACATGATCCTATTCCTAAAATAACTAGTTCCTAGGACTAATAAGAATATTAATAAGAATATTTCTAAGCTATTGCTCCCAGAAACACCTCACTATATATATATATATATATATATATATATATATATATATATATATATATATATATATATATATATATATATATATATATATATTCTCTGTGAGCCAAAGGGAATTCCTTTGTAAGTTTCTCAGATCTGGGGAACTTATTTGATTTAGTTGTAAGTACTAACTAATCTGTGTGGCTCACTGTATTTGGCTGCCTGAAGTCTTGCCCAGTTGCTGTTGCTACTAAATTGTAGGTTATAGTCACCTGCTGACTCAGGAGTTGGTGGACAGAGGGATATTTATGGTTTTTTTTCCTCAAGTAAAAAGCCTGATAGAAATGAAAGGTAATATTTTTTACCAAAAACTAAGAATGATGAGGCAACCTGCTTAAGATTAAGATTTTCTCTGAACCCTCTGTAATAAATGTTTCACACTCATTTCTTATCCTGTTCATCTTTCCAGAAGGATTCATTTATAAAGCACAAAAGCATGACAGTAATGCTCATGACAGTAATGCTCCAGTCTTTGTGAGAACTTTCCCTGCAAAGAGGCCTGGCTCTTATGTGTAGGGAGTGCCCTTTTGAGAGAGTCTATCTCTCCATGACTGTGACCTTAAAGGGACATGGAACTATGCAAAGCTGAGCAACTGCTAGGAAATAGACCGTAAGGTTTCAGTGACTTTCCTTATATGAAAAACGTTTGCTTTTTCCAAAAGATTCTTATTTTCCTCCCTTAATTAAAAAAATTAAGGCAAAAGTTAATAAAATACATTTTTCTAAGCAACTCTCAAAAAAACATATCAGAAAATGATTACCTTTAGTTAATGAGATAGCTCCACAAGTTGAAAACTGATTTCTGGAAGAGAGAAGAGAGATGAAGCTAAAATTGTAAAATGCTGTTACCTAGTTCTGATTATACCTCCCTTTAACGCCCTCCCTAACTCAGAATGAAAACAGGTTTCTGTTTTACTCTGCTCACACTGAAATCTTTTAGGGAAGCCTTCCTTAGATTCAAGAAGCAGCAGAAACCAGGAAACTCCAAACTTTCAAGTTCAAAATGTTTCTCTTCCCCAAGGGACCATTGCTGCTTCTGCCACACCTCCCAGAATCCTCACAAAGATGCACTCTGGGAAATGTAATTTACTCTATGCCGGCTTAAATTAACTGTGCTTGGGGGAAAAAAAAAAAAATAGTTCTGCCACACTTCCCAGAATCCTTGTAGATATGCATTCTGGTAATTGTAGTTCAACATGTAGTTCATTATGTATGTTGTCAAATACCAATCTTACTACCCTATCTTGGGAAAAAAAAAGAGTAGGTCAGATTCATTTTCAGTAATAACAAAATGTCAAATTTGTTATTAAATATCATAGGTTATATAATGAATGCGAACTAAAGGAAAAAAGGAAACTCAGATGAGGTCTGTTTTTTTTTTTTGTTTGTTTGAGACAGGATCTCAGTATGTAGCCAGACGCTGTCACTGAAGCCTAAATCCTCCCGCTGCAACTTCCTAAGTGCTAGGATTTCAGGTCTGTATTACCACATTTACTCTATCAGATTAGTCTAATCTCTCTGTAGCTCTCATTCACGCTCTACCCACTTTAGAAGTAGCTCTAACATTCCATGAAATTCTGCCACTATGAAAGGAAAAAACCTGCGACTAGGTATGTTTCAGCTTTTGGTAGTAGAATCCATCCCTTGATCAGCCAGGCAAAGAGCATAACATCAGACAGAAAGCTATCCCTCAGCAAAATTACTTGGTGTTGCTCAGTTTTCTACTGGAGCTGCTTGCTTATGCGATATTCTGGTGGTTATAAGTGCTAGGAGAAAAAAAATGAAACCAGAAGATTTTTCTTTTTCATATTGGATGGTCAACCTTATTGTTAAGATGATATTGAAGCAAATATGTTGAGGATATAACAGGGGAAGCCATGATGCTACATGGGAAAGGATTTGTAGACAGAACAAAATGAGCTTAAGTAAAAGCCCCAGAGTAATAATATCCTTCCAGGTTTGAGGAATGGCTAGGACAGAGTATACGTAGTATCAGAGATGAGGTCAAAAAGTAGCCATGCATTATATCACTTAGGGACTTACAGGTCTTCAAAAAAAAATTTTTTTTGGTAGTATTGGAGTTCAAATTCAGGGCCTTGAACCTTTCTCACTTGAATTGCTTTTCTAGCTCCTTTTGCTTTAGTTATTTTTCAGATAGTGCTCGATCCTTTTTGCATGAACCTGTCCATGATTTTCCTACCTTCACCATCTACATCACTGGAATTACAAGTGTGAGCCACTGCACTGGCCACAAATCTTAAATTTTTATAAATTGGTTGTAATGCTTTTGTGTCCTACTCCAATAGAGATGAGATGTCACCAAAGGGTTTGAGTAGAAGAGTAAGGTGATTTGATTTTTATTTTAATTTCCATACTTTGTATGGAAATTAGACTGTAGGGGACAAGAATCTTTAAATTCTGAGTGCCATTGATCATACGTAAACCATACCTGGTTAGTTGTCCAATCTTTCTCTTGGATTTCTTCCATTAGACATGAATTGAAGCTTTTTTTTTTTTTTTAACCACTGGAATCATCCTTAAGGGAGGCATAGAAAATCTGAGGAAAGGCTGGGGATGTGGCTTAGTAGTGGAGTGTTTGCCTTGCATGCATGAAACCCTGGATTTTGTGGGGGGTTTTGTTTTTTGTCCGGTCTTGGGGCCTGAACTCTGGGCCTGAGCGTTGTCCCTCAGCTCTTCAGCTCAAGGCAAGCGCTCTCGAGCTCTACCACTTGAGCTAGAGCACCACTTCCAGTTTTCTAGTCGTTTATTGGAGAGAAGAGTCTCATGGGGACTTTCCTGCCCGGGCTGGATTTGAACCGTGATCCTAAGATCTCAGCTTCCTTAGTAGCTAGGATTATAGGCGTGAGCCACCCGCGCCCGGCACTGTGGTTCAAGTGGTAGAGAGCTGAAGAGCTGAGGGATAGCGCCCAAGCCCAAAGTTCAAGCCCAACGACTGACCAAAAAAAAAGCTCAGGACAGTGCCTAGGCACTAGCCAAAAAAAAAAAAATCTGAGGAAAACAAGCTACAGAGTCAGCAAATTCCAAAGAATTAAGGAAGTATTCTCAGGGGGAAAAATGATTCTAATAATTTAAAAAATACATAGCAATCGTGTTAAACTCTATGAACAATAAATATAGCAATATAGCTCAGACTGTTTCTTAGTTCCAGGCATAATACCCAGTGTTTTACATATTTATCATTAAACTTATCATTATATCCTATGAGATATATTATTATTATTTGTATTTTACAGATGAAAAAAGAGGCTTAATAAGTAATTTGTCCATATTGATATACATAGTCAGAAGAAGGGCTTGGATTTCTTTTTTTTTAATTGTGAAAATACTGTACAGAGGGGTTACAATTACATGGGCAAGATAATGAGTACATTTCTTATCAAGCATTGTAGCCTCCTCCTTTGTTTCCCCTTCCCATGGGCTTGGATTTCTAACCCTGGCAAGGCTTCCTAACTTTAGAAAGAAGTGTGCTTTTGATCACCATAATGTAATATAGATCTGGGTTGTATCTCTGATGGTGAGGAGCAGGGAAATGGCACATAAACATTGAAAAATATTGGAAAGTAGAATCCCATGTTCATAGATTGAAGACAATTTTGGAACGATGGTAGTGTTCCTATAACTGATCTTGACCTCCTGAAAGCTGGGATTACAGATATTTGCCAACCATGCCCAGTGATCTGATATTCTACTATGTTCTTTTTTATTTTTTTAATTTTTGTCAGTCGTGGGGCTTGAAATCTGGGCCTGGGCGCTGTCCCTCAGCTCTTCAGTTCAAGGCTAGCACTCTACCACTTGAACCATAGCACCACTTCTAATGGTTTTCTGGTAGGTTTTTTGGAGATAAGAGTCTCATGGACTTTCCTGCCTCAGTTTGTTTTGAACCGTGATCCTCAGATCTCATCCTGAGTAGCTAGGATTGCAGGTGTGAGCCACCGGTACTACTATGTTCTTTTTTTTTTTTTTTTTTGGGTCTGGTCGTGGGGCCTGAACTCTGGGCCTGGGCGCTGTCCCTCAGCTCTTCAGCCCAGGGCTAGTGCTCTACCGCTTGAGCCACAGCGCCACTTCCGGCTTTTTTTCTTTTTGCTTATGTGGTGCTGAGGAATCAAACCCAGGGCCTCAGGCATGCAAGGCAAGCGCTCTACCACTGAGCCACCTTCCCAGCCCGCTACTATGTTCTTAATAAGCAAGAGTTATTCTTCTTGCTAAGTACTGAATAAAATTCTGGGTCCTAAACTGAGAGCCTTGCTCTACCAAATAAAGCTGAGATTTCTGGCATTCTTGCTGGCTATGTTTGAACTCTTGACAAGTTCATTTGGGTAGAAGAATGTGTGGATCAGCCAAGTTCTACAAATCTTTCAGCCAAGTCAGATCTGTTTTGATAAACAGAAGCATTCTTCTCCAGTGTAATGTCTCCTTTTCAGTAAAAAGTTGTTTAATTTGCAGACATTTTCTGTGCTTGATGGAATAGCTGTTGGCTATTTCCCTGCAAACTGTACAATCTGAAAATATTTAATATTTATGACGCAAACTATTTGTATTAAAGGGTGATAAATTACTAAGGAAAGAGTAAAAAAATAGAAGGGGGGCTGGGAAGATGGCTCAGTGGTAGAGTGCTTGCCTTGCATGCATGAGGCCCTGGGTTCGATTCCTCAGCACCACATAAGCAAAAAGAAAAAAGCCGGAAGTGGCGCTGTAGCTCAAGTGGTAGAGCACTAGCCTTGAGCTGAAGAGCTGAGGGACAGCGCCCAATCCCAGAGTTCAGGCCCCACGACCGGACCCAAAAAAAAAAAAAAATAAAAATAGAAGGGGCTGGTAATGTGACTTAGTGGTAGAGTGCTTGTCTAGCATGCATGAAGCCCTGGGTTCAATTCCTTTGCATAAACAGAAAAAGCCAGAAGTGGCACTGTGGCTCAAGTGGTAGAGTACTAGCCTTGAGCATAGAGAGGCTCAAGGACAGTGCCCAGGCCCTGAGTTCAAGCTCCAGGACTGGTAAATAAATAGAAGAGGAACAAATAAAATCTGTACATTTTCATGGTATCTATAAATCTGTAGGTGCTCTATAGGTGATCAATATTTTTTGAATCAATGAAGTAATTTTATAACAGTTGATGTGACTGAATAACAACAGGTACAGCTCCTTTAGGAATTAGAAATTTGTTTCAAAATAAAATAACAGTTAAGAGCTGAGTTGGCCTTTATCTTAATATTAGTGCTTGGCGTATGTCTAGGGCCTAAAGTCCTAGTAGTCAGGAAGCTGAGGCTTCCAACTGACATAGTAGCCTACATTTGGCATTTTAAAAAAAAATTTTTTTTGGGGGGGTCCGGTCGTGGGGCCTGAACTCTGGGCCTGGGCGCTGTCCCTCAGCTCTTCAGCTCAAGGCTAGCACTCTACCACTTGAGCCACAGCACCACTTCCGGCTTTTTTCTTTTTGCTTATGTGGTGCTGAGGAATCGAACCCAGGGCCTCGAGCATGCAAGGCAAGCGCTCTACCACTGAGCCACCTTCCCAGCCCCTGGCATTTAAAATTTTGCGATTTCTTTTTGCTCTGCTGCAAGTGTAAATTGAGTGTGTAATTTCTCCTTGCAACTCAGGTTACTTGGTTGTTTTGTGATATGGAACACTATCTCATATATCCCCAAATATTACTTTGTAGGGTTTTTTAAATCGTAAAGCAATTCCTGTACATTTTCTATATCCTAAGAAGAAGAAATTACACTTGAACTGAAAGACAAGGCATTCCATTGACTGTGGACATTAATAGGTAGGCAACATAGAGCTTC